CATGTGGGTGAAGTTGGGACGGCTGCAACAAAGGTCATCTTAATATGGCTAGACTGGATTGTGGCTCCAGCTAAGATTTAGGATCACGCCCTTTTGATATGGATCGTATGCACTACAGTAAAAGCTCTATTGAAAGTCAAACGGAAATTTCCTACACACGGAGGCAAAGAGGCAATAGTGTGTTAGGCTTTCTCCACAAGGTTGGTCGTTGACAAGGCTTCGAAATGGAGGAACAGCGCACATCAAGTTTAACCATTTTATGTAGCAGTTAAAAAATGAACTTCAAGGAAAGGGTAAAGAGAGAGAAACCCGTCCAATCCATCGAAACATAAATCCCCTCCCCTTAGAGGAAGGGCTGATATTTACGTATGAATGGTCTCCGGTCAAAGCCAAAAATCCAATAAATCAATTATATCGCAATCAGGGGAAAAACCAATGTAGGGAAGAGAGGAAATAAAATAAACCAGAAAAATAAAAATAAAAATAAAGGGTGAGAGAATATACAATCTCTCAAGGTCTGCAAAGAGTCCACCCTAAAAAGATCCTTTTACAAGACCTAAAATAAATTCTTCTTCTCTTTCTCTTTTTGTTACTGACACTTGCAAATTTATAGAAGAATAACCCTAAAATCTAATTTGCTCTTTAAGGAACCCTAACCACGATTAAATCCTATCCATTCATCCATTTAAAATTAAACTTCCAACTCTACCCCTCACCTCTCTACAACTGAAAACACATATAACCTAACATAAATAAATACCATATAGCCTAAACCTAATTTCAATATTCAAAAAATTAGTAAAAAAGAAAAACTAAAAACCCATTATATCATTATCTCAGTGCTTGGAGAAGCTCAACCTAAAGCTTGTTGTATTCATAGCATCCTTCAGAGGTCCCTTGAATAGTAGCTGATGAAATCCCACCATTTACCTTGGTACTTTGACTTCTTCAATGAACCAATTAATCCAATACTTTATGTGCAACTTGTAGTGAAACTTTCCCATGTCGAATATAACTTTGATTTCCCTTTCAAGCTTCTCATGGAACTCTGGAGGACAGACTTGGATAGTGAGATCGCATGGACGTTTCTCTAGTAATGGTTCTTGCCTCGAAATTTGCTCTTCACATGTGATCCACATCCAAAGTCGATCATGGAGCTCGACTCATCCCTAGAGGTGAGATTTGGCACTGGATCAACAGGATTGCAAGCACCCTCTTACTTTGCCAATTGCTATTTTCTAATAGTTGCAATCAGTGATTAATTTCACCAGTCTCTCCTCGAAGTTCACATTTTTGTCCAACACTTGCATATTTATAAAAGGTAAACCCTAAAATTTAACTTGCTCCTTAAGAAACCCCAATCACAATTAAATCCTATGCATTCATCTATTTAAAATTAAATTTCCAACTTACCCCTCAATTCCCTACCACTATAAAAATGCACAAATACCCTAAATTAGATAAATAAAAGACTATATAACCTAAACCTGATGTTAGTATCTAAAATAATAGCAAAAGAGAAAAAATTAAAAACCCATTGCCTTAAAACCTTCTACTCTTGGCCCTAGAGGAGGGACCTCCCTAGGGTTTAGGCCCAAGACTTTAAGAAAGAAGAAGAAGATAAAGAAATATAAGGACAGGAGGATAGAAAGAGTCGCCACAAAAGTATAGCTTTCTTTGCTTCTAGCTAGAAGGTCACAATCCTCGTGGACTATGAATATCTTAGAAGCAGCAAGCTTCTCTATACTCACACTTGATCACCCTATCAAGATAAAATCCCTCAAAAGGATCAATTTTCCTCTTAGAGAATGGAGTGAGTTGTAGGGTGTCACCTTCTCAAGAAAATTGGTCAGCCTATCGGGATCAAAATCCCTCAAAGGTCACCTCCTTCTAGAGGTCAACACAGAGTTACAGGACGTCATTTCAAGCTTTCCGCTAGTAGCTTTGGTGCTCCTCTCTCTCATAAGATATTCTCCCTCTCTCTCCAACACTTTCTCCAACACTCTATTTTCTCTTTCCTCTCTGTAGAGAATGATGATGAACCCCAAATGAAGCTAAGGCCCCCTAATCACAGAGAATGGGAGACAGGTGATGAATTCCTATAGGTTAAGCCCATGGGACCATTTAGATGTGGTGGGCTCCCATTGGTTGAGCCCATGTAGCCTTCGAGATATGGGTCTTTTCTACTCGTCAATCTTTAGTATTATCATGATTTGATTGGTCAAGGAGGAAGGAATATCCCTTTGGATAAAAGGATGCAGTTTCTCCATCTCTCTCTTCTCTCTTTGGGGCATGAGCCTTGAAACTCCACCTTTATATGGCCTTTTTAAGGATTATAGAAAGAGAACGTCATTTGATGAAGTGGACTACTAAAAGGAGGGAGGGATATGGGCTGCACGTGAAAGCAAGTCTTTTCTCTTTGGAGGATGCAGATCCAACTTGATTTTCCATTGTAATGAGAGAAAGATCCACTAAACATAAAGCCCATGGCTGACCAAGGTAGAGAGAGATGAGTGCTCCAGAAATGTTACAACTATAGAGAGAGGAAGTGTCCCCTAAGAAGTGCAGGTCCCGCAGCATTTACAATGGTAGGAGAGAGAATGAGCTCCCCTTAGGGGCGTGGACCCAGAGGGTTTATGTTCTTGGTCCCAGAGCAACAACTAGCCTTCTATATATTCAATCTAAATGTGATGCATAAGAAGCACAGCTAAACCCTTGAAAAGCTTAGTATTTCAGTGATACATGTCATTGCTCAACATTGTCTCAGAAATTCAAGCTTTCAAAAATTAAATGTTACAATTAATTATCAAACTACTACAGTCAATAATATTTTCACTAGAAAAATCAACTATAAAATGAGAAAAGATACCATAGAGAAAAGAAATCTATTTATCTATTATATCCATTGTCCTAAGCACCTTGAAAGACAGAAAGAAGAGGGTAAAGAAACCCATGACAATCTAGTAATCAAAGGAGTTAAGTTGGTAAGTGATTATGCTAAGCAGCTGGGTCTATACAGAATCGAATGACATTACATCTCAACAAAGAGATACAGTTTCTATTGCTTTCTTTTTCTCAGGGGATTTAAAGAAGTTCCTGAGGACCACAAGTCCTACATTAATGGTAACTATGTGAATATGGTTCACAAAATATATGCAGCTTACTATTTGAGCCACAATTTTGAACACAGCCTAAAATATCAGGTAGTTAGCATCATATAAATGGAGTTGATTGTCAAGCACAAAACATCCAAATGTGAGTTGCAATCTCTCAGCTAAGACTACCCTTCAAGCTAATATTCCCACGCTCAAAATCAACGGCCTTTTGTTGATCACAACAAAAAATAATTCCCATAGACATTTCATCGGCATCTATGCCAACTAAGATATATATTGTAAGTACTGGGCTTGGGCTTGCTTGGTTAATTATTGACGACTGCAACATTACACTCCAAGTTAGATTCCTATTGTTAAACTACCCAAAAACGAAAAACAAAAAAAAAAAAGTGTGTGATAAGACCAGCACCTTTAACACAAGGATTTCAAATCAATGCTAGCTGCTGGATGTGAAACGAGCAACTAGGAGTGACTCATTAACCAGGCTCAAAGTTCAAAAGAAAATTTTTTGGACTTCAAGGCACAATTCAAGCTGCTAATACCTAAGGCAATGGTTTCATACTATATGATCCCCCCAAAAGAAAAAGATGTATACTGTAATTTGCAGCTAGCCATGCACCTACTAACTCAGAATTCATAAGGGTGTGCCAAGCACATCAAGTTGAAATGTCTCTCTTTATGCAAAGCAACACACTTAAACTGGGGCATCAATGTTCCTTTTACAGTGTGACCCCATAAGAACCGCATACATGCAAACCTTGTATTTCAGAAGTTTCACCATAGCAGCCTATACTGACTCCATTTTTGGGTACAGTATATTAGAATTCACCCATCAGACAACACACATTTGTTCAACAACCTAACATCCTGATTCCCATTAGTTGTGCACTACAGTTGTGTGGCCCATCAACTCATTTAGATAGTAAATCACAATTCTCTGTTTGCTATTTGCAGTATGAGAATGATAAGCCTTAGATTATGGGATTGTATACGATGAGACCAAGTACCTATTGTACAAGGAGGTCACAATTACTTATAGCCATCCGATATGAAATTTAATAGCTTGGATGTGTCACAAAGTTCTAGAAAACTTCCTTTGAACTTTGAGCTTGGTCAATGGAATAAATGCAACCACCTAATTTTACATCCAATGGTCAAGATTAATTGTGACCACCCTGCACTAAAGGTAAGCGGTCTCATTGTATATTTTTCCTTAAATTATAACTCAAAAGCGAGTCAAACTCCTTAAAGAGTACAAATGCCTATGTTGTTTAATGAATTTTACCCTGGACCACCTGTCCACACCAGTTTGATGGTATTACAGACTGATTTCTCATAAACTTGCAAATTGGAATCCAGAGCACGTCTCACTTGTGTAGACAATATATTCAATTGATATTTCAGGTAATTCCAGTCAGTTAATCATTTTACTTGTCCCTGATAGCTAATGCCCCTGAAGCTCCAATTCAGCTCAGATTGGCACAGTTTAGTAAGTACTTGAGCACACATAATAGAAGCAGGCACTGTAATGAATTCCATTTAGATGACAGAACCATTTCTGAGAACTATTAAAGTTGAAATAATAACTTTGGAGAAGCAAGAAAGCCTTTTTTATCTGATGTTTCACAAAGACGACAACCGAGGATTGGCCTGTCAAAGCTGATAATGCAATACAGTGGTCTCTGGTGTGTTCAAAGTTTAAACTACTTATGTAAGGACTCTTATGTCACTTTTCTAAGGCATGATATTGAAAGCATGAGTAATTCATACAATTAGGCGACAATGATTCAAGACTTGTGGTAATCAGAAAGAAATGGAAGTTACTCCCATTAAAAGCCATATAGAAATTAAGCATCAGAGTTCATTCTTCAGAAGGGTTCATACCTAGATGGATACATAACTTTGTCTTTCCACATCTGTCAAAGAAAACAGAGTCTGTTTCTCAAAAAAAAAAAATTAATTTCTCAAAAAAAAAGAAACAGACTCTGAAATATGGACTTATTTCAACAATCCTCCAAAGTTCAAAATATCAAAAACCACCTCCCTGAAATAATGGACCTTAAAGACTGCTTCACGTCCCCAAGCAAAAGTGCTCAAAGCAAGGACCTACTTTAGTCCCGCTTTTTTCTCAAGCATAATTGCATCAATGCTCCCATTATCTAATCCTTTAGTTTCAGTGAATTCTATCCAATTACATGGTTAATATGACTGTCTACACTATAAAAGTACAAATAGAACCAATAATTACATAAAACACTACAATCACAATTTACTAGATGCAGCAAGGTACTTGGTATGACGCCCCTGAGCAACCAGTGTACCTGTCTTCTTCTTCCTCAAGTCAACATTCACGACCCCAATCGCCTTACCCATTCGCAAAACATTGGCTTCAATCTCAACCCCTTCCTGAGCCACAAGGAAACAGACATCAAAGTTAAATGTTCCTAGAAATGACCATCTAACACAAGGAGAGATCCGCCAAATCAGAATTGCCGGCCAAAGCCACAGCACAGATAAGCAAATACCAAATTTCAGCTAACAGAAAAAGCAAATATAGGCCTTGTGGTGAACTGATCACCTTGTGAACTACAATTTAGATATATAAAAATACAATAAAAAGTACAAACTACTCCTAATAACTGCTCATGGAACTACAACAAACACAACAGCATTCAAGTTGGTAAACCACTTGCAAGTAAGACAAACAAGAGAGATAAGGCTCAATAAGCCAGTAATCCACAAGAAATTCATGGGAAAATCACACAAAATCCCACGAACCCCAAATCCAAAATCCCCTCTACAACAGGTCAAAATCGACAAACCCAAATCAACTGATTCGAGACTTATTCAGACATCTTACATAGAAACACACGTTTAGCTCAAAAACAAAAAAATGGAAGCCTTAGGAACAACCCATTGACAGATATCTTTATTAATAAAAAAACATTCTTACAATCTGATAGTGCGGGAAGAACCTTTGGGAAGAACCACCTTTCATGCCAATAATTAAACAATGCCCAGAACTGATTCGTGATTTATTTAAACACCTTATAACAAAACCCGCACATTTAGCCCAACAAACAAAAAAAATGGAAGCCTTACACATAAAAAGAGTAACCATAAGAGAACAACCCGTTCCACAAATAACTTTATCAAAACAAGCCCTGCTTACAATCTTTACTGCCAAGCACAATAAATGTTCAAGTCCATGAAAAGAAAACCACAAAAACCAAGCCCAAAATAATTGGGCTGGAAATGAAAAAATTGGGCCCCTCCTATAATCTTAATCCAACTAAAACAAAAGTGATATCTTCATGACACAGAAAAACCCACCATCAACACGATCAGATTAAAATCTGAAACTACCCCAAATGTACCAGAGCAACAATCAATCAATGACCCCCTCAAAGGAATGCTCAAGCTAAACAAATGAAACAGAGTCACTTACCCAGAGTCACTTACCCAGAAAACAAACAAGAGAAGAGCCATAGGAAAACCAGAAAGTCAAAAAAATTGATTACCTAATAATCCCAATGGAAGACCTCAAGGAGCCGCACAAATTGAACAAAAACCATTCAGCATCGCACTACTGCTAAGAAACTCAAAATGAGTACATTTCAAGGTTCGAACTATTCAAGCAAAAGCCCAATAAACCCAAGAAAAATGCCAGAGAAAAAAACAATGAGCCAAAATTAAATGACAGATCTATCAACCTAGAGAAAGCTCTAACAATTTCAAAAGCAGCACAAATTTCCATCTCAAAATCTGGCGGAACAAAGTAAAGCCAGGAAGAGAGATTTTCACACTTTACTGAAGATTAAACATAACTCAACATTTGATATCAAATAGAAGGCAAGAATACAAAGAAGAAGAACAATAACAGCAAAAGGAAAGTGCTAAAAAGAGAATTGGGTCCATAGATTGATGGATACTTACCCCAAGAAAAGCAGCATCCAAATAAGAAATGTTGATTTCAACAGAAACACCAGAGGTTAAAGCACCCGCAGCCATCAATGCCGCTGATCCAACAATGTCGACCAGAGATGCCGTGGCCCCTCCATGCAAGAAATTACCTGTGTTCTGGAATTTCCAGAACAAAGAAATAAAGAATAAGAGACAGAAGAGAAAAGTAGCACTGGCTATCAAACCAGGAGAAGAGACAGAGTGAATTATCAAGAGATATGGGTAATTATATGGAGAAGAAATAGCTGGCTTTTGAGAGAGATGAGAAGATGGGTGAGTTTTATCACTAAGAAAAAGCTGTATTTCTAAGAGGAATGAGAAGATGGGCAATCTATGTTACTAAAAACCCTGAATTTCAGAGCAACGAGAACATGGGGTGCTAAATGTTTGAGAGAGATGACAAGATGGATGATCTTTGCAGGGAAGAAAGCGCTGAATTTTTAACAGAACAAAATCTGTACTTTTTATAGAAATAAGAAGATGGCAATGTGTTATAAAGAAAGAATTGAATTTTGAAAGAGGAATAAGAAAAGCTGAATTCTTGAGAGAGATGACAGGATGGGTGATCTATCGGGGGAAGAAAGCACCGAATTTTTTAGAAATTGAGATGGGTAATTTTTGCATCGAAGATAAAGCTGAATTCCCAAGGGAGAAACAAAAAGATGGTTGATTTTTGTTTACTCACCACTAAGCGTTGGGGCACTTTGAATGAACAGATGACGCGCCCAGGCTCTATGGTATCAATTTTGAGACCATGAAGTATGAAGGAGTCAAAGAAGCGACCAGGCAATGAATCAACCGAGGCTGAGAGGCTCTCACCCGTGCTCTCGAGCGATTGCTTCACTGCCTGCAAATCCATTCCTCTCGCTTCTCTCTATGCCAAAAGCTTTTAGAGAGCTAATCTCTCTCTACCGTTGCTGCTATTTTAGTTTCTTAGTCGTCTGTGTAACTAAGGCTCGTATGATGATGAGTCGTCTCTGCAACTCCTCTTCAATTATTAATTTAAGGAAAAGTAGTTTTCAAGCTTAAAAACTCTTTAATTGATCATCGAGATTTTAAGTCTTGTAAATAATAAATTTTATAACATATTATCTATACTGTTCATATTATCTATACTGTTCATGATTTTCGTATGTTTATAGATGCACTGATTTTAACCATTTTAAAATTTAAAATTTTATAATTACATATACATAAAAATAGATTTTAAAGTAATCCTAAAAACAGTTTTTATTAAAATTATGAGTAATGACATTATAAGATCCTCCCACACCTATATGATTCTTCCACATCTATGTGAGTAGGAACTCAAATGATTACCCTTACATTTTGGCACATATATCTCGAAAAGTTATCACATGGATGTGGGACTTGAGAATAGGTTTATTGATAATTTTTTTAAAGATCTCTGTTAAAATTTAATGGTGATATCCTACTCACATAGGTGTGGGATGGTGTCATAGCATCATTACTCCAAAATTATATACTATGATAAAATTTTGAGGTGCACCTTACCTTTATACGTACAAATGCATCCATAGATCTGCACCCATAATTTAACAAGCGATATGCACGTGAGGAGTTTATTAAAAGCACATGACAAATAATTAAAAAATCTAAAAGCAGGTAAGAAATCAAATGTTATGCATTTCAAAATGAGATAGCAAGATCTCAGTATTAAGAAATAAACTACAATTATTATGTATAAATTCAAATGTCATGTTTCCTAAAATGAGATATTTAGATGTCTCATAAACATGTATATAAAATAAAAAAATTAATTATGCGCAAGAAAATCATTTTTAAAAATTAATTGTCTTTTAATCTTAGATTTTTAATATTAAAAAATTAAATTTTTTTCTAAATTGAAATTCGAAAATGAAGAATTATTTAATTTTCTAAAGATAAAATAATTATTAATTTTAACTTTTTCATTTTTCTTAATTTCAAAAATTTTCAAAAAATGAAAAAATCTCAATGTAAAGTGAGACCCATGAAACTTTGGTTACGTATATAATCACCTTACTTTGAATGGCACATATATGCGAACCCTAAAAGAGTACCTTTAGAATGAGTCCATTTTTTAGCGTGTCTATGAAAATTTTCAAAATGATTTCCTTAAATTAAGAAGACAAATTTGAAAACCTCATAAAATAAAAACTTAAGTCCTAAATGATAACCTCCGCAAAATATTTAAATATTTTATTTTTAGGCTTAGACTATTTGTTATGTGGTAAATTTTCAAAGTATTCTTTAACTTCTAAAAAGATCTTCAAAAATAAATTATTCTAATAAATTAGAAAAATAAATTAAGACCAAATAAGGAAAAAATGTATGAATGGTTTTTTTTTGACAAATAGGAAAATGTATGAATGTTCATATGCTTAGACTTGTAAATGAAAAAAAAAATGATAAGACACAAAAGGAAAAGGAACAAGTTAAGGATCTATGAGATGCCTCATACTACACAAAATAAGTCGTGTTTAAATGAACAAATTGCCCTCTTTCTGGATTTTCAAAATTCATTTTAAAACTTTGGAAGTTCAACATTTGAAAATTTACATTTTAGCATCACCAAATTTTTGAATTTTGAAAATCTAAAATTTATTTCAAAAATAAATTTTTGGACTTTACATTTTTAAAAATTACAAAAAAAATATAGTTTCCCAACAATTTTATTTACAAAAAAAAATCACAACAATTTCATATTTTGAAAACTAGAAATTTGAATGAAAATTACATTTTTGGATTTTAAAATTCAAAAATTGAGAAAAAGAATAGTGTGCCGACAATTATATTTACCCATAAAAAATGTCTCAACAATTTTAGATTTTAAAAAGCTATAATTTATTTGAAAATTGAATTTTCAGATTTTAAAAATCCAAAAATTTCATTTTAGCATCCCTGAACATTTGATATTTAAAATCCAAATTTAATTATGATATTAATGCTTGGATTTTTTAAAATCCAAAAGTTATAATTTCATGTTGGATCATGTATTTTTGTTTATTTGAATATAAGATATCTATTACATAAGTAAAATATAGTCTATATTATATAATAAAATATATATTTGTATTATATATAATATTATAAATATATATTACATAAATAAAATATATTATGCAATAATATATATATGATCTTATGAAACCCTTCCACACCCATGTGTGTATGACCCTAAAAGATCGTCATTAATTTTGGCACACATTTCTAGAAAAGTTATCACATAGGTGTGGGACTTGACTTTTTTAGAGATCTATACCAAATTTAATGGTGATCTTTTGGGGTCCTACACATGATGTGAGAGGGTCTCACAATGTCATTTCTCATATATATATATATATCTAAACGTCATATATTATATTATAATAAATATATATATAATATAGTATAATATAATATAAAGGAAAAAGTTTACATAAGGTTGCAACATTAAAATATAGAATTAAATATGCACCTCAAAAATCCATTGGAAAATGTTGTTTTAATGTTGAAAAACCGTCTAACCTGATCATCTTGACGGCGAGATGTATGAATATGAAAAAAACAAGATTTTGAGTCACAAAAATAGCGCATCTTGCAATACATTATCTAGACCGTCTATTTTCAAGATTTTCATATATTTATAGATCTACTTGATTTTAACTGTATTTAAAATTTTATAATTAGATATGAAAATAGATTTTCAGATAATCCTAATAAAATTTTACACCAAAATTACATGATATGATAAAATTTGGGGGTGTACCTTAATTGGATTGTTCGAGGTTGCAACCTTGAAACTACACCCTAATGTAAATTATATAATTAATATAAATCCAATATAAAGAGGGATGCATAATAGGGTTTGATGAAGAAGGCTGGGTCAAGTTTATATTTTAAGTTGCATCATTTTAGCTAGAACTTCTTTTCCTAAGAACAAGGGAATAAGAATGTAATGGGGGAACTTATTTGCTGTATAAGTTTCTATAAGAATGTAATGGGGGAACTTATTTGCTTTATAAGTTTCTGTATCAAACACAAAACTTATATAATAATAAAAAACTCCTTTTTCCTCCCTCTAACTTCCTGTTATCAAATAAACATGCTTTAAATGCCTAAGGTTTGTAAGTTCCTGTGAATGAATTTGAATCCAGGTATTATGGTTATTTATGTAACATCCATCGGTCTCATCATTAGAATTTTCTCATTCTTTTTGTGTCTTTTTTAATGATGCAAATATCTTAGAATTTCATTTTGTGGGACATAATATTTGAATTTTTATGTTATTCGTCAAAAAAATTGAATTTTTATGTACTTCCAGTATTTATGCAGTAATTCTCTATACGTCATGTGCATTGAAAAACAGTGCATGTCGCCAGTGAAGATAAATAGAGTTTTGTCCTGCGTGATATCTCCGCAGTAAGGCCAAATTTCACCGTACGACGCACAGGTTCGAGTATGGTTTAGAGTACGCCGGCCACCTGCTACCTTCCATCATCAATCACAGACAGTTGAGATGAGCTATGAAAATGGGAGCTTAAAATGCTCTTGGGATCTTGACCGTCTGTTAGCGAGGACCGTCGGTGGATAACCGGAACGCACATTCTCTTGTAACCATGACCGACTTTGCCAGCGAAGCTCGTGAATAGTTGCGCTTATGAGGTTCAAGCATAGCGCATAATTCCTTTATTCGGTTTTGGAGTTAGAGAGAGAATTAGAAACCCTGGTTTTTCTGGCCATTTTGGAGAGAGAAATCAGTTTTAGAGTTAGAGAGAGAATTAGAACCGTGGTGTTTCTGGCCATTTTAGAGAGAGAGAAAGCGAGAGAGAGAGACAGAAAGAGGAGTGAAGAGTGCCCGTCATGACGCGAGACAGAGAGCCATGCCACAAAGAGGCGTGTGACATTCAAGCTTGTCTCACCAAGAACAATTTCAATTCTCAAAGGTCAGCTCTTAAATCTGCCGTCCTATTTATCCCCATTCTTGATCTCTCTCTCTCTCTCTCTCTCTCTCTCTGGTCGTCCTTTTAGGGTTTGAGACATGGACATGGCCTGTTGCCTTAGTAATTGTATTTTATTGTTGGATTTCTTATCTCATCTTCGTTTATAACTTGTGTGGAAAATTTGGAGATTAATGATAAATCGTACCTGTTATACCTGCTATAGTGCTATTCATTTCTATTTTGGCTTAATTGCGTAATTTGATATGCTGTCTCATAATTATCTCGATTCAACTACTTTTAATTTTTCTCACAATGAATTGTTTGCCAATCTTTTTATTTCCAAATCTCTGCTTTCGCTGTTTGATTTTGTTGCAGTTTACAGGGCCATTACTGGTTAATTTTGTGGATTAATATGACTTCTTTTTTTTTAAAAATGATATTTCTTCACTTCTTCTTATCATCACATAGTGGATTTTTTTATTGTTGTTCTTTTTGAATCAGGCCCTTTTGTCCACAGTAATGTTCCAGTCTGTTCTGTACTTGTTTGTGATATGCAGGAGCATAAAGTGATGAATAGAGTGTCATTTTCTTTCTCTTTTTCATCTCATTAACAACTAATTTGGCACCTAAAGCAAATAAAAAATTATTGTTACGTTTCAATGTTCTAATGACAGTGTTCAGAAACGTGACTCCGGAGAGTCATTTACAGGGCAAAAAAGCCTTAAAAAAAGAAAAATGAAAAAATGAAAAATATATTGAAGATAGTAAAAGTAAAATAAAACTACAAGCAACCTTCGAAAGGTCCAGATAAGCTTAAAAATATAAAAATTTGATCTAAAAAAAAGCTGATTTATAGATGGGGAGATTTTTAAAAGTCCAAAAAGGGTAATATAAAAATAGGGATTATCGCAAAACAAACACTTACCAATCATTTCCAAAAAAATGAAATAATATAGAAAAATTATGCACCATTCATTTACCTTCTCCAAAATTTTGGAATTTTAAATTTTTATTTTATGTGACACAAGTTGTCCACACAACTCGGGGCCTACGAGCACGAATAACTCGGCTGAGTCTGAGTGGACTTGCCCAAGTCAGGGAACCATGTTCTAATGTGTTGCAGCCGATAGGTTTCGTTCCTCATCTAAGGGTTTCATGTTATATAAAAGCATAGTCCTCTTTATCTGTTATACGTGTGAGAAAGGAGGTGATGCCATTGCTCACAGTAGCTCTTTATATATTTTAAACCAATAATCTCATCCAAAATGAGAAAGTGAAGAGAAACCTTTTGCTCATACGTATCTGGATCATATATGACATCAACCATTTTGATAAACAACACTTACTGTGCTTGGTTGTTGGATCTTTCAGGGGGGAAGAAAAGAGTTTAGGAAAAATGGAGAAATAGAAAACTAAGATGTTTGATGATGAAGCACCGAATCAAAGTGCATGCACCCAATAACTAAGTGACATTTTTTATCCAATAGATATCTTCCCCTAGCATGTTACAGATCAGATGGTTCTATAGTGAATCACACCATACTTTTTGTGACATATGATCTCTTTATATCTTCCACATTTGAGTTTGATCGTCAGTTTTTTATGGACTTGTCGAATCTGGGTATGGTCCATTAAAAGAAGGGCAATAAAAATGATACAGGATCTGAACTAGGGTTTGTGAATTAAACAAAAGTACATGATGGATTATGAGATAGTTGCTGATAAAAAGAAAATGTAACCTGAATGCAGAAACCAAATTCCTATGGGACAAGAGGAGACCACATCATAGAATGACATATCAAAACATGTGCTGCATTCTCTGAAACATAATAGTAAGAGCTGGTTGACGATTTTTAAATGAACAGAAAGTAAAAGCAGCCAAGTAAACAAGAGGAAATTTATTGATGAATCCAATCAAAATTCAAATTCCTTGATCATCAGTGTGACAGTATGGGATTTGACGATGTTGAAAATTGTGAGTGAGGTGCTTCACAGAAACTCTTGACAAGTACGAGTATTGTACATGGAGAAGATTTTGCCAGCTCCAGCCGTTCCCCATCTGCAATAGATCATTTTGCAAACATAATGTCACCAAACATCATGAAGAAAAAATTCTAACACCCTTTGGATGAGCAATTGTTCAGTAGCTCTGGGATAAACAAGATTTATAGACATTTAGATTGATTAGGTGAATCAAAAGGAATTGATGCTTGCATTGGGACAGAGATGGCAGCTGTTTCACCAGAATTTGGTGTAAGTAATATGAATACTGTTCATACTTCATAACCGTTTCTGTCAGAAGATACAGTATATTTTGGAGATCATTGCCCCTGTAGTTAAGATGTGCATGTGTGGTAGCTGTTGTATTTAGCTTACTTGGAAATACATCTTAAAATGTTTCGGCTGAGATCAATATGCGAAATTGCCTTTAATACACGTGATACCTTTTTCATCCTAAGGAGAATCACACTTAAAAGCCCTGGCTATTCAGATTTGGTTGAATCTCGAGAATAAAAGCTTAGTATTCTAGGATCCAACAAATATCATCAACTTATCTGCACCAACACAAATGTACCTGTAGGGCCTCTTTACTAATAAATTTCAAAATAAGTCCATTTGACCGCATAAACACAATGACTTGTGAATGGTACCCAAAGAAAAAGAAAATGCCAAGGAGAAATGTACTCCTTTTTTTGTAGATCTGCTAAATGATATTTATTGGATAGCCGTCCATAATCATAACTATATGTGGCATATGTGTTTCAGGTGCTAGATTTGTTAACAGATACCCCATGACATATCACCTTATTGCATTATATATGATTATTATCATCATCATCCGAGCCTCATCCCAAGTATTTGGTTTTAGCTATATGAATCCCTTTTTTGAGAATGTTGGCTACATGAACCTTGTTATGTCATTGTGCTCTATCAAGGGTCGTACCTTGAGTCAGACCATAATTCACCATATCTCTTTTCACTAGTTCCAACCATGTCGATTTGGGCTTTCCCCTTGGCCTTTTAGAGCATTCCACTTGAACCGAATTGCCTCACCTAACAGGTATTATATTAGGTCTGTGTTGCACGTAATCATCCTACGTAACTCTAATCTCCCTTATCTTATTGCATATTGGAGCCAACCCTAAGTTCCCTCGGATTTATTCATTCCCAATTCTATCTCAGCTACACTCATCCTAAGAATATGTTATTTCTTGACCACTCTACATTTCGTCCCATAAAGCATGGCTGATCTTACAACCATTAGAACTTCCCCCTTAGTTTCATTGGTAGTTGGCAATGATATAAAACTTCAGATGCACATCTCTGCTTTGCACACCCAACTCTAATTCTATGCACAACATCTTCCACAATCCCTCCATTCTCTTGGATTATCGATCCAAGATATAAAAAATTATCTCATATAGGTATTTCTTGGCCATCAATCTTTCTACTCCATTGCCGTACATAGGATAATCACATACATTTGGGACATGTTGAGTTGGCATAAAAGTCCCATAGCTCACAACTTTATACATTGGGCCCCATTATATGGGTGTTTGTGTGCGGGGCTGATATTCTTAGCATATCGGGGCTTCTTATATGGTAATCGCTGTGTTTAGGCATTAGGGCAAAATTATAAAAGCACTGTTTTGCTCTTATGCCTGGTATAGTGGCTTCGTGCAGCAAGTCATATGCGCACCCAAACATGGCCTTGGTGTTCTGCTAGATGTGGGTGTGCATTTGGTGATCTTCTAGACATTTGTCTGCCACGAGAAGGATCCTCTGTTCCTCAGCTGGTCCTTCATATTTTGGAAGAGCAAGAAATAAGCGAGAGGTCTCTCAAGTCTTAACATTGAGGCAGAGAAACATTGGCTCATTTAAAGAGATAATTTGGCCAAGCTCTCTACGGCATGAACTGAGCATTTGTGCAACCTCTACCTCCTGAAATTCTTTTGTGAAACCAATTGTAACTATTTTGGTTTTGATCCTTAGGTTCAAAGGAAAAAAAAGAAGAAGACGAAGTACTTCTAGGTTCCCTTAAATCCTTCTACTTGGCGAGAGAGAGAGAAGCATACAGCATATAAATTGGTTCTTAAAGAACATAGAATATAATATTCCTTGGCATTTTGTATGCGACAGGCAGAAGCCAAAGAGTTCCCACTCTTCACATCTCAACAGTGATCAGACTACTTACCGTGGGATGCATGGGTTTACCTAGTTATTCCATGTTAGAAAACTATAATTGATTACCTTCCCATTGTTAATTTAAAGGGAAGCATTAGAGGACTCAGAGCCGCATTAGATGTTTATTATTTTTCTTATATTTATCTAAGACTTCTATAGTTGGTACGATCACCTGTCCTTGAATGGTTGTTGGTAAAAAGTTCCTCATGGCTACCCACCAAAACAATGGAGAGCATGGATATTTCGCTTATTTTGTTTTCATTTCTTGCTGTCATGACATTTATATGAAGCCCTTATGAAAGCAAATTGTGGTTGTTAGATGTTCAAACATCATTTACAGGTAATGGTACCTTCAGAATTATTGAATGTGCACTAGCTCATACTTTGGTGATGTTTTGATCTGGAAGTTTGAATTCTTATCCTAGTTGACTTTTCAAAATAAGCTACAGTCTTGCTTCCTCCAGTTAAGATATGAACCTACTCTCCTCCATTAAGATATGACCGCAATCGCCCTTTGGAGCTGCCAAGCCTGCCATGGGCCAGTTTCCAATGGAGATGCTCTCCCCAGTTTCAGTAAACTTTGCGGCTTCAATTTTCTTTTCTTTTTTTTCTGAGTTCTAAATTTTTATGAATAGTATATTTTGTTGAGAAATTTCAGTCTGCTGCAGATGTTTGAAAGTAATCGAATTGCTGCAAACATGCTGCGAGAAATGCAAATACAGTTCAACGCATTGCGGATCCTTGTCAGGTGTGCTCAAGACAAGTACAAGGTGAACACAACATTTATGGTGAGCTTCGATCTCGGAAATATGCACCATTTAATTAGTTTTCAAAGTAATAGAGAATGTGCTATTATGGTACAGAGATAAATGGAAAATGTGCTATCATACCAGAATTGCTAACCTGGCATTGAAGCTACGTGAGGTGTTACTCTTTTTTGAGTGGGCAACACACGATACCGTTCTAATCCCATTATGGTTAGATTTGTGAGCATAAAAGGAAATTTAAATAGTGCTGATACCAATTTTTGTGGTAGGTCATCTCTCTCTCTTTCACACACACAAATTCTTAGTCCAACACATGCATGCTTGGACTCAGCTTTTATGCAGTATACCGAGCTCCCACTGGGGAGCAGTTTACCTTTTCAAATTTAAGAAGACAACTCTCACAACCATGCGTTTTGGCAAGCCTATGTTTTAAAAACCGAACTGGTGGGCAGAATTCAGCTGCAAGCCAGCTCTTCCCGGTTTTTTTGTGTTGAAAAAGGAAATAAATATAAAAAACAGGTGGAACAAGTCAAATCCTGGGCTCGTTAACCTACCCTCCCGCCAGTTCGGTCATTTTGAATTGGCTAGGGTGGTTCTTGGCACGCTTTTTAAGCTGCAAAGTTTGTATAAATTTTGGAAGGTCTAAAGGATGCAATGTGTATAAGGCTTAGGCTTTATGAAAACAAAGTAAGGCTTCACCTTCAATTCTCATCCAGAAAGCACTTTGGGCATTGGAAATCTCCATAATTGCTCTAAAATCATTTTTCAATACCAACTATGAAATTTGAGCTCCAAAACCTATGAAATTTGAAGTTAAAAAACTGGTGCAAGTTTGCAAGTATGTAAACATTTTTTTTAGAGTGAAATACTCGGTCTAGATTATGTGTCACAATATATATTATTTTTAGAGTTTGAAATCTTAATTTACAATATACATTATTTTTAGAGTTTAAAATCTTAATTTATTTCTACAACCATAATAGACAAGGTCAGGATGATCAATTTGAACATTTTCAGACACAAGAACTGCAATTTTCGATGAATTTCGAAATGAGGCTTTATTTATGATTACAACCCTATCAAAACATTTTCCTTAGGTTATATACGATCGGTCGTTCGATGAACGGTTCTCCCATTCACGTGGAAATACTGGTTGACAACAGTCTTCCCTTGTTGATAAAGGACCGCAGACAGTACGTGTAGCAAACTGAACGGTTTCTTGAATAGTGAAATTCGAGCCTTCCATATATATATATATATATATATATATATATGAAGACAAAGGACTTCGCTGCTCTTGGTGGAGCACGCTGTCAATTTGCTCCTCAGGTAAAATTAAAGTCTGGATTATTTTTTTGGAATGTAATGAATCTTATGGCCAACGTACAAAAAAAAAAAGAAACCGCACATTTTATAAGCTTAACAATTTTAACGTCCAAAAAGCAATTTTTGTAGGGAGCATTAAGTTTGAAGAATTCAATTTTTTTTTTTAATAACAATCCTCCAAATAGCACTTTTGCTCAAGCAAGTTAATGCCCAGTAGACTCCGGCATGAGCATGTTATACACCTTTATGTTTGAAACGGGTGCTTTTATCACAAATTACACCACCAACACTACCGTTTTTTTAGGAAAAGTGTACAATGAGACCATTTATTTTTGTATAAGGTGGTCATAAGACTCACAATTAATCTTGTTCATTGGATGTGAATTTAAATAGCTGCACTTATTCCATTGATCAAGCTCAAACATCAAAAGAAGTTCTTTCAAACTTTGTGATACATCCAAGCTATAAGATTTCACATTGGATGCTTGTAGTAATTGTGTAAATGATTTCAAAGATGAATGATCTCATTGTATACAAATCCCATTTCTCTAAGGTGCCTATGTAATTGACCGAACGCCCTTCCCCGTCTTTCATGGTATGTCGTTTAGGATGAGTTACTACATTCCAAGCCCGCCCGTGTCTTTCATGGTAAGCCTTATTGGACAAGTTAACACCATTCCGTGGTTTAAGCTATGAAACATCAACATGCGTGAGTGGGGTGGCAATGGATCGGGATGGGTCCTTACCAGACCTAAAAGTATATTGGTGGGGTGGAACTGATCGGGTCTATAGTCTCAAAACCTAGACCCAGATCGGAATTGTTTATAAGGGATTTGGATCCAACTCGAACCTAACACATAAATAAATAAATGAATATGAATATCTATATATATATGGAAAAGGTTTCTGTGAGCCAATGGGTTTACAAGACAAAATGAGCCCAGTGACCCATATTGAATCTGGGCCGATCTTACGATCACGGATGCTTGATAGTGTTTGAATTTTAATTTTTTTTCTACAAATTCAAATCACTTGAAATTTTAGGTGTATGTTGATAAAAAATAGGTGAATATTCGAAAAATATTAAAAAAATATTTTATATGAAAAAATAATCAAAATACCCCTATCAATTTTTGGGGGTATTTTGGTTATTTTTAATTTAGAGGTTTATTTTATTTTTTATATTTTTATTAGGTGCGTCTTGATGAGAAGAGTATTTACCTAAAATTTGAAGTTATTTGAATTTATAGAAAAACAATTAAAATTCAAACACTCTACTGAGATTATACTAATCTGGGCCATTGGGCTTATATATATAGATAGAGAGATTGAAATCCTAAAAAAGGGAGTAAAGTTTGTAATGAGCGGATTAATCCCCGCTTGTCATAT